GCCCGTAGAGCAGGGATGAGAGTCGCGTGTAAACTGGAAAGTCGTAAGATATTTAAGCAGAACATTTTTGTTTCATATAGCAGGAAAAAGACATTATTTCTTAAACTTTTGCTATATAATGACTTTTAAATGAATAACAAATTTATTTAAAATTTATTGGAAGTGACTCAGAGTAAGACCTTTACCAAAGTTCATTGAAACCAGTGAGGTTGTGGATAATATGCAATTTTATCTACAGTTATTTATATTTATCATTTGAAATTATCCGGTTTAATAATGGTGAATGCTTAAAAAAATGTATAAAATTCTTGGCAATTAATGGTTGGGAAATAATGAAATTGATTTTTGTTATTGGGAGTACAAATTAGTTCGATCCGTTTTTTTGTGTATTTATTTCAAAACAAAATGAACACATCAATTAAAGTATTGTCCATCGCTGCCTACTACTTTTTCCCATCTCTCAGGCAATTTCGAATTCCATCTCAAAAAAATGATTCGTCTTTGGAGGCGATCCAATTTTGGAATCAATTTTCGATTTCTGCAAAAGAAGTGAACCGGTGACTTGCCAAATCGTGCTGCATTCTTCCGAACAACCAATAATCAGAAGGAGCAATGTCCGGAGAATACGGCGGGTGCGGTAAAACATCCCATTTGAGCGTTTCCAAATATTTTTTTTTTCTTTAGCGGCGAGGCCGAGCGTTGTCATGAAGAAGAATAACTTTATCATGTCTTTGCTCGTATTCTGCCGTTTTTCTCGCACGGCTTTTCATGCACGGCTCAAACAAGTCAATTGTAGCCAATACCGATCGCCGTATCGTAATGGAATTGCTAGGTTTCAACAGCTCATAGTAAACAAGATCCTTTTGGTCCCATTAGATACAGAACATGATCTTCGAATCATGAATGTTCGGCCATGGTGTTAATGTTGAGGTCGATGGCAACGATTGATCAGGCTTAGCGTAATATCTTTTCTTCTTGGGATTGTCGTAGAATCCACTTCTCATTTCCAGTCACAATCTGATGCAAAAAACCTTTTCTCTGTTGTATTATTAATTAATTTCTCTGTTGTAATATTAATGCTTTTAAAATACAAAAACAAAAAGTTATTTTTTCGCTGTTCACACTTTGTTCATTGCAGATATAACTAATTCAACTGCTGCATTACATATTTTTTTGGAAACGATAATAGATGTTTTGTTTTACGATAATAGATGTTTTGTTTGAAAAAAAATTTTAAATATTTTTCAGCGGGATCTTTGTACTAAAATCGGGATATTTGATATATTCGGCAGGAGAGCTAGACAAACATTTTGAAAACGGGACTGTCCCGTTGAAATTGGGAACGTCCTGGCACATTATCTATACCTATTTACATACTAAATCTGACATTTCATGTGGTCTATCTAAAAATTCTGCAGCGTGTTTAAGAGTTTCTCTTACGTAACGAGCCTCACTAATCATCAAGATTGTCTTATCATTTCTCTCCAACTGGAGGGCCTTATTTATCCATTTGACCAAATTCTGAAAGTTAACTTTCAATTTTAGCTGTGTCCATTTACGAAGTCTTAATGAATCCTGTTCGATTTGAGAGTCAAAAGACAGAAAAAAGACAGCTATTTAAGTCAACGATAATATTGTCGGGATTTTTTCTCCTCTCTTAACATCCAATGACTTAGAGAATGATTAGAAAAATTTGAATGGAAAATGGGATAAAACACGTGTAAACTGTCGACTTTAAAAATTTTAATTATGCGTGCGAATATATTAAAGAATATACTATAAGAAAAAATAAGAAAACATATAATAATTTTTATAAAGAAAGCATATAATAATTGATCGATCATTTATAAGTGTCATATATCTCACTAATAAATCATTTATTGTGTATATTGTACTAAAATATAGTAAAATTATCCAAAAAGAGCTGCAAAAACTTTGACATAAGTTATTAAAATCAGAATTCTTAAAAAAATGTGGTCGAATTAGAATGACACCCGTCTCAGAAAGTTAAGAATTTCAGGTTCAAAGTTCGAATCCTGGCTGACGTAATATTTTTCGCAATAAAATTATTTGTATATGAAGATTTACATGAAGATTATTAGATTCTCTAACATTTTCGCAATAAATTAAAATGTCAATGTCTTTTTTAAAAAACGAACAAATAGTTAACTAATAAAAATTCCTCTTTAATTACAATCATATAACGCTATAAATTTCAAACATTTCGACTTACAAAGTCTTCATCGGTGATAATAAAGAAAACGTATTTCTGTAACTTCATCCAATGTCATCGAACTAACATAAATACATATTAAAAATTATCGCTATATTAATCTTATTTAGTTATTCCTACGTTAAGATCTTATGGATTAAACTAAATATCAAGTCAGAAACTTGAAAGTCCTTAATTGTAAATTAGTGATAGACTAATTCATCGATTGTTATCGAGAATCAGCTCAGTCAACAATTTATAAAACGTCATTCCGAACAAAGATCTCTTCAATGACTATCTATAGTCTGTACAATTAAATGTTAATTTCAAATTAAAAAATTATGTATTTTATTCAGTATTGATAAGAATTTATATTTCACTTACGTTAATTTATATAGAATTATATAGTCAATTGAATCAATTTTAAACTGAGTTCTCGTGTACAATAGAACACTGTTGATTGTCAGACGATATGAAATAGACTGAATATTGTGGGTCATAAAATATCGATATGTCATGAAATAAACAAATATGTTTTAAATGTTAACAGTTATATTCATATATGTTGACAAGTATGTTAAAATAAGATCTATCCAATAACTCAGTATCTTTCATTAAATTTATACCATTATTTTACCCCTTAATGTAAATCATTTCGGAAATGTTTCTTTTCCAGAAATTTATTTCATAATCCAAAATTTCAACATTTTCTCAGTCAAAGCTATGATTGGAGCTAATAATATGTTTTGTGACTACTGAGTGTAAACTAATCTAATCTAATCATTATTATAGTGTTCTTTTACTCTAGTTCGGAGCTGTCTCTTCGTTTGTCCGACATAAGAGACATCACAATCATTGCATTAATTTTATAGATTACATTGTTATTATCTAGATGTTGTTTTTTGTCTTTGTATGTCTTTATAAACTTGTCTAATTTATGAAGACATCGGTATCTTATCATCGTTTTTGATTTGTTTACAATATTACATTGGTAATCTTATTCATGATCGATCTAATATAAGGAAATATAATCATGTTTTTAATTGTTACATCTTCGCTTCGACATTAGAATTATTATTTCGACATTAGTTTCAAATCTGTTAACTACTAAGTTTTTTATCCTTTTATTGATATGATTGAAAATCATTTTCAGAGGATAACCATTGTTCAACAGAATCTCAATAACAAGTTTTAAGTCCTTTTTGTAAAAGATGATAGACAACAACATCCTATTCACTAATCCGAATATAGTTCCAACTTTATTGCAGGATGGACAAGTAGGATGAAGAAAAAAGACAAATATTTACCTAAAAATGTTTTCTTGTGATATCAATCAATAATAATCTTGTTATCTTTGTTGATGTATTTGATTAAGAAAATTCAA